TTCCACACTTCGGGCTTGGGTATGGCTGGCTGACGACGGCTAATAAGCCAGAAATGGCCATTCCAGTCTCCCTTGTCTTTGTCGGCAATACCATTCTGCCTATATATCATGCGCCGCTGTGCGGCTGCTGTTTGGGCTCGAGAGAGAGTCCATAAGGCACAACGGAACGAGTGAGTTCCGTATGAACGATCGGTGAGCGCCCCCTAACATTGTATATATATATATATATAAAAGGAGAAGGCTCGTCGGAAAATCGAGGTATACTCGTGAATTTTCAAGTCGGTTACACCAACCCGTCGTCAGACGAAAATGAAAAGTGTGAGGGAGATAATCCTACTGGGGAGTCAGGGGGACNCCGACAAAGACAAGGGAGACTGGAATGGCCATTTCTGGCTTATTAGCCGTCGTCAGCCAGCCATACCCAAGCCCGAAGTGTGGAACACCCGAGCCTCGAACTCGCGACCTGTTGGTTTAGAAGTCAACGCCTCTACTCACCGGGCCACGAGCCCGTTGCCTTGTCGGTTTTCGATCGGGAATATACAATGTTAGGGGGCGCTCACCGATCGTTCATACGGAACTCACTCGTTCCGTTGTGCCTTATGGACTCTCTCTCGAGCCCAACCAGCAGCCGCACAGCGGCGCATGATATATAGGCAGAATAGTATTACCGACAAAGACAAGGGAGACTGGAATGGCCATTTCTGGCTTATTAGCCGTCGTCAGCCAGCCATACCCAAGCCCGAAGTGTGGAACACCCGAGCCTCGAACTCGCGACCTGTTGGTTTAGAAGTCAACGCCTCTACTCACCGGGCCACGAGCCCGTTGCCTTGTCGGTTTTCGATCGGGAATATACAATGTTAGGGGGCGCTCACCGATCGTTCATACGGAACTCACTCGTTCCGTTGTGCCTTAAGAGCTCTCTCTCGAGCCCAACCAGCAGCCGCACAGCGGCGCATGATACATAGGCAGAATAACATTACCGACAAAGACAAGGGAGACTGGAATGGCCATTTCTGGCTTATTAGCCGTCGTCAGCCAGCCATACGGTGAGCGCCCCCTACCACTGTATATTCCCGATCGAAAAACCGACAAGGCAACGGGCTCGTGGCCCGGTGAGTAGAGGCGTTGACTTCTAAACCAACAGGTCGCGAGTTCGAGGCTCGGGTGTTCCACACTTCGGGCTTGGGTATGGCTGGCTGACGACGGCTAATAAGCCAGAAATGGCCATTCCAGTCTCCCTTGTCTTTGTCGGTAATGTTATTCTGCCCATATATATATATATAATAGACCAGGTTAATTTCCTTGCATTAGTGTTGCATGTTGGATAAATGCACATACTCTCCTGCAAACTGAAATTTTCCTGATTACTCTTCCTCTTCTTCTATCTGTTTAAGAGACGGTGTGTGAGCTTGACAATTGCATTGGACGAAGCTCCTGATATTCGCGACTTAACACAGTTCAGCCACGGCATATCACCCCATTCAGTCGTTTCACTTGTCGGAGCGGATTTTAGATGAAGGTGACGGAAGATCTGTTAAGCGTTTTCGTCAGTCCGGCATGCCCCTAAATAGCCTCCTCGACAGAATGCAAGCCCATGCACTTACGCCGTGCGTGCGTGCGTAATTCAACTGTTTGACCGTGGCAATCAACGAGGTCTCCCACAGTCCCCAATGTGCGCAGCGTTAACGTAAGCGTGAGCGGAGTAGGTTTGTGCGGCAAAGAAGAATACACTCACACTCGACACTGGCCGCTTTTACTGGCATGTCAGAGTCTCGAAGATTGAAAACCGACATGGCCACAGTGTCACATAAACCTTCTGCGCGATATCGCGACCTCCACCACCGGAGAATGAAGCTGTTTCACTCCAAACTGCCAGTCTGATTGTCCTTCGTTCGGTTCAGTGGGGAGCGCTTTCTTTTCCCGGCGTAAATGATGACTAATTTAGTTCCCTCCTCCTCCTCCTCCTCCTCTGAGAGGAAGTTACGCTTTTCCGCTAAATCAATAGCGGTTGGGATTGAAAAAAAATGAGTAGGACGGACTTTGTGGCGCCCTAAACGGGACATGAGAACAGGAACCGCCTGCAAGACGGGTGGCTTTAAGCCAATTTCCAGCGAATTAAGTGCTAGGTTTAAAGTCAAGATTAGAGTTAGGCTGAGGGTTATGTTTAAGGCCAGATTTAAAGTCAACGGTAAGGTAAGTCAGTAGCAAGTTTTGGGTTAGAGTAGGGGTTGGTGCTAACTGCTGATTTAAGTTTTAGGGTTAGGGTCGAGATAGGGGCAATGGTTTAGTTTTTATCTTAGGGTTATTGTTGGGGTTGCGGCACGGGAATATTTCGCTCCTTCCGGAATTGTACGAACGTCCCCTTTTAGTACTTGGCTGGTTGATCCCTACTCCAATGTTCTGTTTAGGGGGCCACATATGCCAATCCCGCCGAAAGGTGTAATTAATTGCTTCTTGACACAATACCATTTGTTGCACTTTTACTGGATCGCTCTCCCGTTCTCTTCCGATGGTCTCTGTGGCTCCGAGAAAGAAGTTTGTTTTGAGTATTCTGAAGAAATTGACCCACGATTTTAAATTGAAAAAAATATATCCCTTCTAGCAAAACGTGTCTACTTTTTATTTCTCAGTGACTATCTTAACATCCATTACTCATCAAATCCACGGTTTGCACACTGGGATTCCAAATAAGGATATTTATTCCTCGCGCGCGATGCATCAAGTAGCATCTATTTCGGAAGAAATATAACCCATCTAGACCTTATAGAGGGTCGTTTCGAACTATGAACTTCATCACAATTCTGACCTTACTTAGGCAAGCAGTTCAAGGCGTTGGGCTTCTTAGTGAATGATTTCCAACTCAGCAGTGGCTTAAATGATAGCGGCCTTAATTGTTGCTGCAAGGATGCATTTGCTGGAATGATGGAGTTGGTAGTGTTCTATTGCAGTTTGTGGCTATTTTTACGCTACCACCCACTCAGACGTGGGAGTTGGTGCAATTATCTCTAACCTCGAATGTTCACAGCCCGGATCGAATTTGAGAGGCCACACCCAGCCTAAGATCTGCTTTTATACGGGGTTCCGCCTGTAGGCGTTTCGTTACATCAGCCTCATACACTTTTCTGTTCTGGTAAGCATTTTAGTCCAAAATATGTATATTTTATTGCTCAGTCTTGTTACATTTGGTTTCTGACAGTGCTGCCTTATTGGTCAAGAGTTGCATGCAAGTAGTATCTGACTCTGAAGGTTTTACGCTTAGTTTGTCTTTGCGGAATGCAACAGCTCTCCTGAGGCCTCAGCCAAACAAAGCGGTTTGCCTGATGAGGAAGCATAATCTCTAGCAAAGAATGCTCTTCTGCCGCATGTTAGCATTAAGTCTTTTGATGCTTGTTGGAGTGAGACATTAGAACGGTTTCATATTATGGCTGTTGCTCTTTTATACAGACTATGCAAAACCTCGTTTGATGCTAACTGAATTTGTCTTCAGGAGTTTATAATATAACCTGGTGGAGTGATTTCAGGGACCGCAGCATTGGGGCTCATCTAACGTACTTTACTTGATCAATCGACTGAAGAGTTTGGACTACATCTGGGCATCACCGCGATGCTTCTTGTAGTTTCACACACTCCCATCTCGGGGTGCGCGTCTTTAGCTCTTTAAATAGCCTAGGAGACGGGATAACTTGCATGTGAGCGGAAGTGATGTTAGCTGGAGCCGCGAGAGTATGAAGCCTTCCACCATCCCTGGACGTAGGCAGGATGATTGACATGACACAGGTCTCGGGGTTCAGCTAGTACGTGTATTTGCAGCGTCGGCACAATCTCTTAACAGGCCCCAATAAAGGCTGGGCCGGGGGTTGCAGTCTCCGACCGAAAATATTATTCAGATTGATTACGAGAGGGACCAGCATGATTTGCTCTAAGTACTTGCAGTACTGCCTAGTGCACTTGAAGCGTCATATTCTACGGTCTCACTGAATTCTGCAACTGCACTGCAGAAAGCTGGGATAAGTGGTAAGCAGGTCCCTTTGACGCCTTTTACGCACAACTCGAAACCACAGGAACTCATCACAACAGAAGACCAGGCTGAGAGTGAAACCCTGGTTACCACGACCTTCACTCCTGGTCCCTAATGGAAAGAGAAGGTGGACGTCAGTTGGGAGGAGGCTGCATTCTGTACAAAACAACGGGAGAATGGGTTGGAGAGAGTTGGCAACCGGACAAAGGCACGTCCGGCCCCCGGTGAGCGGCGTTCCACGTCTGTGTGTGTGGGAATGCGTCAGAGCGTCTTGAGCCAGGACACGTTTGAGTCGGCCTTGAATCTGATTGGCCAGTTGGAGAGTCAAGTGGACGTATGTCAGACAGCCCCGATGTGCACGAGCAGATACTCGCGAGAGACCCGGCGTTGCGACATGCGCTCGAAGTAGGGACACTACAAACCTGATTGCTATTACGGACAAAGACAATGGAGACTGGAATGGGCATTTCAGGCTTATTGGCCGTCTTCAGCCAGTCATACCCAACCCCGAAGTGTAGAACACCTGGGTATGTTTGGTTGACTACGACTAATAAGCCAGAAATGCCCACTTCAGTCTCCCCTGTCTCTGTCGGTAATAACATTCTGTCTATATCATGCGCCGCTGTACAGCTGCTGGCTGGGCTCGAGAGAGAGAGAGCCCGTAAGGCACAATGGGACGAGTGAGTTCCGTAAGAAGGATCAGTGAGCGCTCTTTACAACAAACCTGATTCCTGGGGATAACTGAGAGGAAGGACGACGCCGACGTGCACATTTAGATCACGAGAAGGGTAAAAATTGTGCGGCTCAATCATGTCGTGCACAGACTGCCTTCTACTCTCCAGCCTCTTTCTATAGACCAGCCGCAGAGTACCTTGTATGGAAGCAAACCTGTCTTCAGTCTCTGACTGAAATTTCAATTCCTTTAAAAGGTCTCCAACGTTCCGTTTTAGAAAAAGTACTTGTGTCCGTCGCCTTATCTGCAATGGCCGCCGAGATAAACAAATGTCTACAAGTTCTCATCATAATCACGCATGTGTACCTGATGGTAAGTTGGTGCGTGTGTGTGCGTATTTTGAAAGGAATGTAAATAAGTCACTTGTGTCGGGCATGCCAGTGTCTCCGCCAGCACTCAGCACCCATGTCATTGCCTTTTCTTGCAACTTTAGAGTCTGTCCGCTTTTCTTGTATTCATCGGTGGTTACCTAAGAACCGACGTCACAGCCCCATTCCTGGCACGCATTCTGGCAGCCTTTATTCCAAGTAGACATGAACTCAGCATGGAACTTACTACGAGCCTCATCGTGAAGGCTGCCCGTAAGTGGATGAATTCGCTCGCAGTTTGCAAGCAATATCCCATTTGTGAGCAAAAATAACTCTCCTAATTCATTGCAGCCGCCCTAATCGCCATTGGTGTTGTCCTTTCGATCGTCTGTCTTGCTGGACTCATCCTTGCTTGCAAGGGATCGAGGAAAAAGTTGCGAATAGTAAGTAGTTTTCTTAAAAGCAGTCGAGATGTAGGGAATCGTGGCCCCTCATGCAGAGTAGTAAAACTTGTGTTTCTTTCACTTTTTCCTCTTCCAAGTACGCCATTCTGCTTGGAGTTCTGGTCGCTGCACAGATTGTGGCCATCGCTTATGTACTGGGACACCCTACCTTGGTGAGTGTATAAACCGACTCTGTTCCCCGACAGGAGACGACTGACTACATTGAGCTATTTTTTTCGTGCAGAATTATGCAGAGAAACCTGCCCTTTTTGCCCTTTGAACAGATTTCGAAATCTGCTGTCTCCTATATGGAGGAACGTCTACCGCTGTATAATAAGGACGGTGATAAAGAGAGCCAGGCGGCTGTCCGAATCTGGGACGAGGTGATGACGGTAAGTGACATTCAGTGTGTGTTTCATCTTTGCCTGTTTCTGTGCATCGAATTTCTCCTCATGCTCTGCCATATGTACTTTTATCTCGTTTTGATATGTAAGCTGGGTATTTGCCGAGCTGACCATATGCATACATCTCACTGTGAAATTTTAAAGTACTAAAAGAGAACTTTTAAAAGTGCCTCTGACAGGAAAAGGGATTTATGGACACTGTAGGGCATGTGGTCCTGTGATCAATTTGGAAGACCAGGAAGGCTATCTGCCTCGTCCGTTATCACTATGAATATTCGTTATACTAATGACTTTCCAAAGGAGGTATTGAAAGGACTTGATTTGCACTTTGAATAAATTTCCGGAAGATTTGAATGTTTAGCTAAATCTATCCTTATCACTTGTTAACAGGATCACCATGTGAGTAGGCTGCATGATTAATATTCACTGAATAACTCACCACTAGAGCTTTGTGGTTTGCGATACCGACAGTAGCCGGGTTAGTTATTTAATCGGCGCTCCTCACGAACGTCAACCCTCCACTTAAACAATCCTTTCTACGTTACTGAGAACGAGGGTTAATGTATCTTTCTTGAATTGACCCTTATGACACTTAGGCAGGTGAGTTGCCACCAGTCCTCATGGAAGCCTGGCACATTCTGCGGATTGCGCGCCGTGTGCTATAGGCCTAGCTCAATCAGCCACTGCATCCGAGCCCACCTCCGGTCGTCTAGACCCTGTTTTGCCATAGAAATCCGATGCGTGATGGTCTGAGACATGCGCTGCGCAAGTCCACTACACTAAAAAAATCAATTCACGCTCTGCGGAGGAGCACACGGTGAAAGTCGTCGCTCGTGTCGACTGAACTGTCACTTGTCACACCGTAACTTATCTTTCAGATTTCAGTACGTAACTCCCCACTTTTGGCACTTGTTGGCAATCCCTTTGACAGTTGTTCACCAGTTCTAGCTAACTTCGCAGAATACTGGGTATACACTAAGCGGCGTAACTCACGAAACACCGACTGGATTTTTAAAATGAGCATTTGGGTCTGGTTCAGTCCCGAGATATTTAAGTCACGCCAGAATGGCGGCTTTTGAATGTGCGTATTTTCAACCACCTGGAAAACCTCACTCTTTAAAAATGACTATTTAATTAGTAGCGATAACTGATAGTAGAGACAAAATCATCCACTTCAAATTGTCGTCATCTTCAGTTAAATAAAATAGTCTTGTTTCCCTGGAGGTGAATCCAAGCAGATAAGAGAAGGCATGATCATAAGTTACCGTTAGTAGACAAATCAGTACCTGACGTTTAATTGTAATTACGCGTAGGAACAGTGTTAGAATGTTAACGAAGAAGGAAGTACGGAGACCGGAATGCTCACGCCTGGTTCATTTGTCGTCGTCTGACTTGAGATTCTACCTTGGGTCAGTTGATGATGAAGCACCGTTTTATTCACGATTCCACGTTTCGCAGAGGGGAGGCGATAGCGACGAAGCAGGCAGAAAGAGCCATTCTAGTCTTTCGTGTCGTCCATGGGAACACTCCCACGCACTGATTGCTTATGGCTACGCGACCGCATTTGAAAGTTCTGGACGGGGCATTCAACTCTGTACGGAATTGTTCGCGCGCCATGTAAACAAAGTCTCCTTGCCTGCCAGGTTTGTGACTCACTAATTTTTCATTTTTTAAATCCTAGGTTTCGCAAGATTACTGCTGTGGACTGAAGGGCTACGCTGACTTTCCAGGTAGGAAGTGAACTCGGTGCAGTAATGTCTGAGACTCGGTTGTCAGACGTGCTTACCGTTTTCTCTCTTTTCTTGTACAGACCCGGCCAACCTTCCAGTGGCTTGCTGTTCAGTGAAGGACAAAAAACCCGCCAAGTTGTGTAATGCCGCAATAGCGCAGGCCATGTCACCTCCGGTCGTTGGTTGTGAGGAAAAAATCGTCAATTTCATCAACATGAGCAAGCCCAGTTTCGCGACTTTTCCAATCATGTTGATTATTCCACAGGTACGATTCCAGTGCTGCTTTGTTGAGAAGGAGGAAAACTGTTAAGGCATTGCTGGGAGTGTATGATATGCACCGAATTCCCAGAAGTAATTGGAGTTCATTATTGGCTCATCTTTTTCTCAATAGCGGCCATTGCTCCCCGTAAATTAAAATAGGTATTTCGACTATGGCGAGCGAATTCCTACACGGTCCCTTAAACGCTGCTATCGCGCTCACGTATACAGCCGCTAAGATAAGATTGGTTTTCACCGGCACTCCCCCTCTTTGCCTTGAACGTAAGGATAGACTGGCTTTTTAGACCTCTTCAATATGCACCTACACCTTCACTTGCTCCTCTGGGTCGGGTTATATTGGTCGGACAACTAGGCGTCTATCTATGCGGATGTGAGAGCACCATCCTGCGTGGTTAAATCAAGATGGAGAGAGGTCCATATCTAGCGCAATTGTGGCTCACTTGACTGACAGCAGCCACCGAGTAGACGTCAACTAAGTATTCCAGAGTGTCGGCGAGACGATCCAAGTTCATGCATCAGCGAATGCTTGCAACGGTAGAGGCAGTGGCCATACGTCTAGCCAACCCAGCCTAGTGCTCGCATAAAACGTTTGTACAGACTCTAAGACTCCCCTGGTCAAAGACAAAACCAGCATATATGTTCACATCCGCCACGTCGCGATGAAGTGGGGGCAGCTAATCGCCAGACACCTTCTTCCCTCCCCCCTTTGCCATCCTTGAGCCCCAGAAAGAAGTAGAATCTGATCAGTGATCTCTGAACACCCCACTCCCATTTTGACTTTTATGGCATGTTTGACTTTTGCTGTTCTACGCCCCTCCCCTCATATTACTGATTATGACGGAGCATTACGTCAAATATAGCCAATCAATTTGACTTTTGCCGCTTCCAGAATTGTTTAAACTGAAATGAATCCGAGAAGACTTCACACAGCTGAATGATGACACCTTTTCTCTCTTTCAGGTGTTTCTGTTTGCCTTCGTTATTGCCGCAATACGTCTGTAGTCCAAATTTGATGCTGGGCGTCGACGACGTTCCCGTCAAACATTTTAACTAAATGCTACTGACTATATCATCAGTTTAACCGCCTACATATTGCCATTGACTGTGCTTCAGTTACCTTTCAACAAGTCCAACCCCCTTTTTGACTAAATTCCTTGCATTCGGGCTTTGACTTGACCAATGCAGTCCCCGACTGAAAGAAAGCTAGATAATGTAGCTGCCCTGGACGGGATACTGATCTGCAGAATCTGATAAATAGCACAGTGCGTAATTATTTGCCATAGTGACAAAACAGGTGTTGGCTGAATGCCGGACACGCGTGTTTTTCGCCGATCTTGTGGCGCTGCCTGACGCAGCTGCGAGGGGTTCGGCTCACCATCGGATCCCCCAGATGGCCCCATGAGTTTTCTGGTATAGGAACTGAAGTTTCATACTGGCTGCCTGTTGGTGGTTTGTGAATACTACGCGGTTATTCCGTAGTAACTGACGGATTTTAACTCAAATATTCATGCCACATTTCGGACCATGCCTGAAAAGGTCTGCTCCAAAGAATTTATTCCAAGTTCGTGCATTAATTTCCTCGGGAATTAAACAAGGTAAAATAGCCCATGTCATCCGGTAAACTATTTTCTGGAAGTTAAGAAAAAAATACCGGTTATATGGGGATAGTTAGGAATCCCTGGCCCTGATCACAAAATAAATAATCAACGGCTGGGCTTACAAGGGATTGGCGAAATGTGCCGCCAGTGTATTAGTAATGTGCGCTGAATTAATAATTTATTCGGGACACCGGGACAATTCGAAGCGCCGTGTATTGCATTGCTGAGGGCACGGGGATGCAGTCAATAACGAGCGTCGATTTTATTCCAATTTTATGACGAAGGTGAACTATTGAGGATGGCGTGCTGAGAATTGCTCAGCAACGTTACTGGCTACATTCTCCTAATGGCCATTCGTCTCACGATTCCTTTTTGTGCTCTGAAATACGGTTTTCCCAACATAAATTTAAAGATGAAAAAAAGTAACGACACTGGCATGATTGTATCAGAAGCAGCGCGACACCTACTTCAACTGCAGACCCTCCTTGTTCCTAGACTGCAAGCATAAGCCTACTCATGGCGAATATTTTCCGACCTCAGGGAACGAGTGACGCAGGTGAGCGGGTTGGGAACACAAGGTCAAATCGTCAGGCCCGATCGAGGTCACACAGCATGAAGCAGCAGTCGGTGCCGCGTGGGTGGGGGGAGGGGAACTCGGGTAGTGGGGAAGAGGGATTTTTGACGTCAGGTGTTCGTATCGTGGCAGTGAATTACGTGATCCATAGGCACGCGCACCTCCGGCTATATCCCCAGTGTCACCGCGGCTTCCGGGTGACATTGGCGACGTTCTTTGTTTCTCCAAGCAGGGCCTATAACGTCGTTGCTAGACTTGGTAAGTAGCTTTGTTGTGGAGTTTCTCAATACCGAATTATTTGTTCTTTGGGGTTGGCTAAGCTAACTGACGGTTTTTGCTTGCCTCTGGCAGTTTTGTAACTGCGACTACGCTGGACCTCAAAAACACAATGCGTCTTTAAGTAGGCTAACGTAGATGGCCGTTCCAAATCACAGAAACCTTTAGTATAGACTGGTGTATATCCACCGTATCCTGCCTCGAAGCCGCTGTTTGATCTCGCTTGACGCAGTACCCACCCCGAAAGAGGGGTACGTACTTCAAGGTATTTCCGGAGCTGTACTTTCGCTTGGATTCTCCTTGTCGATAAATTTCTCTGACTGTTTGTTCACGATCAGTGTGTCCTTCAGTGACGTTACCCAGCTATCCACCATTTCCAGGGAACAAATATTTGCAGCCCGTCATCTAGTAACTTAAACGAAACTCAGAAAATGTACGTCCTCTGAGTTCCAAGTATTCCCTTGAGGGGTTGATCTGCGGGTGGAATCGTCCTCTCGCCGGCGTAGAATAACATTCAGGGAATGCAGTTTGTTAATGCAGCAGCACTGTCATAAATTTGCCTTCCGTGGGTGCCTTGCTAATAAAACCGAATGTTACGTCACGGTGTCACGTGCTGTCGAATACGGCGAGCTGCCCGTCTGGTAAAACCCCTCGATGCTGCATTTATTCAGATACCTTTGGCAAGAAATAAAGGTATTTTGTTAGATGTTCAGTGTGAGATGGTTACAGGAATTAAAAATTGCCGTGCAGCCACGCGTTAGAGGGATTAGCCACCACCATCCGAAAAGGTGCTACTTAAAATACTCGCAAATATAAAGATGAATCTGCCCGAGAGCAGGCTGTCACGACATGCATGCGGACGCCGCTTTTCCACAGATGTTGACTGCGATCAACCGTTGCTTTCACAGGAATTTTGCGATCTGATCTGACACCTCCGGTTCCGCTAACATAGTATCACACTCAAAAGTAACCAGTGATGTGATTATAAGGTTCACGACAAAATAAGTCTCACATTATTCATATGTGGCGGACCATCACCTATGCGCCGAAAACGGGTGGTAGAAAACTGACCTCTACACATATTCAGCCGTCAGTTTGGCGCATTTTGCTCGCATTGACGGAAGCCGTCTAATTTGGTTCTCTGGTAACGTCACCACAACCTCTGGCCTTGAGTGCTCATTCGCGGAGGTGTGTGTGCTATCCGTACGTCAAATTCTCTGAGACCCTACAGTTAGTCTCACTCAGAGCTTAGGAGAGGAGGCAAGCTATAAATATTGTGCGCATGGGTGTAACTCGGCTTCTCCTGTCGATACTGGGCCAACGCTTGGACCGCAGATTTCAACACTGCTGGCCCGTGCAAACGTCGACAACTACTCATTTCTGACGCATAAAGTGGGCCTACCGAGGAGTGAGCCTCACTCAGGCAGCCTCTCGGTCGGCATTTCGATTCCGTCGCAGGAGCAGCACTTTTTGGGTTTGCGGATTCGCAGTCTGGAAATCAGACATGCGTTGTCAACCAAACCGTAAATCAAGGTCAAGAAGGGGAGAGGTGGCTGTTATACTGGCTCTTTAAAAGGGCGGCAAACACGATGAAGCAGGTGAGATGGGGTTTCTGGAAATTGTGACTAGTTAATCAAAGGACCTTGTCCTTCCTAATGACATCGGGTGGGGCTTAGGAGTAGCAGGTAAAACGTATCGTTGGTTTGAAGCCAGTAGTGTAATCAGAATGCCCAGGTAGAAGTGCCTGGAGCGTTAATTTACCGTCCAGTAAAAAGCCTAAAATTGCCCGCTAAAAATCAATTTTTAGAATAACATATCGCAAAGAATTATAAAAAAAACTAAGGAGTCTTTTATACACAAGCTTGGGAGCAGAATTAGTGTGGGAACAACTAATCAAGGGCGGCGTCCATTCGTGGCAGAAAGACATCGGTTTCGGGGTACGTACGTACATGTAATGAAAAGAATTGTTTACGGAATACCAGAATTATAGAACTTAGCGAGCAATATATGTTGATTTTGGATTGGCTTTTTTTTCGGAGCGTTCGACAAATTATAGAAGTTTGACCGGGGGAAAACGACCTCCAACATTTAAAATCCCAAAGTCTCAGATAAATTTCTGAAAACCGAAATAATAATAATGATGCATCTCCCGCATGTAGCACGGAGTATGCAGTACTAAACGCTTCAGGAGTTCCAGTAATTGGCATGCTTTGTCCAGAAGTATTTACAAGGTATGGCCGGAACCTAAGAACTCTGGCGAAAATGGAAACATTTCCCATTAGGCCAATTATATATCTGCTCTGCAACATAAAAATAAGTTTAAACAGGTTAGAGTGGGCGACTGACCGTTTTCTGTTGACTGCCATCAAACCTGTGAACAAGCACACACAAGATTTATTGGGGCGTTGGTCAGGTAAACGGACCCGTATTGGTGAGAATGCCAGACTGTACGTACATTAACGCACAGATCTGGTGGGTTTGGTGAGTCAGCTGCTGCTGCTACTGATGACGATGATGAGGATGAGGAGGAGGAGGAGGATGATGAGGGGATGGCACCACCAAGTACCGACATTGGTTGACGTAACTTCTTTAGGCAGCCTCAAGTGAGAGAAAGAGAGAGCAAGAGATATGGATGGAGCGGAATACGCTTTATTTTGACAGTATTACTCAAAATGTACAGCAACAACGACTCAATGCTCTTTTGCTCGCATATATAAATTTTTAAAATGACCTTCTCTTAGTCAATTCTCTGACGGTATTTGCGAAATCCCATACCGAACTTGAATTTTGGTAAACGATTCCGTACACCAAGAACGTCTCCGAGGCCGTCAATCGTCTTCCCACACGACTTGGGGTTTGAAACGCACAAAGACCGGAGGCAACCATTAGACGTCAGATGATGAGACCAAAAGACCCACTGCTACGGCAGGAAACGTCTGGATTCGTTTATTAACCCTGCTGTAATTGTGAGCAAAGTAACTACGGCGGAGAAACCGGAAAGTTGCTGGGACACGAATCGCCGAACGTGCGACAGCAGTTCGGAGAATGGACGCCAACTCTCAAGTCACGACCCACTAGACGAGAACCGACGACACCCTCAAGTTCGATGAGGCCGAAATTCTCGCGAGAGGTGGTTATCGCGTGAGTCGCGAGTTGCTCGAGTCATGGCTCATGGGATCTCAGACTTTCAACAAGTACACTGATATCCCCACTACATATTCGGTGATGAGACGTAGTCTGGCCAAGGCAATTAGCCGCTTAGGAAGCGCTCGGACCAGTGAGCCAGGTGGCTGAGAAATCATCACGTTAGCACTTAACACGGATGGTGAGATTTCAGCGATTAACGACTTGCATGCCAGCCATCAAGAAATTAGCACAGCAGCGAACAACAATCCTCGATGATAGGGGAGAGTCGCTTACTATAATAGGTATCCAGTAGCATAACGACTGCACCCCGTGAATACTGAAATTAACTGTGCATGAACTACCCCTATCTGCTACTGTCTCTGATGATGAGTTCGGGCGAGAATTCGAAACGTCAGACGAATAAATCTCTTGTTCCAGCGATCGTTTCTACTTCTTAATCCCGCTAACGACTGCTGGAATCAGATGTAGCCTCCGTATTGGGCCAGCGCATCTACTGCTTGGCCTATTTTAAGGATAAATAGAAGAGACTTATCCTAAATCATCCTTCCTTCTGGTAGACCGACGTACAGTGCGTGACCTAACTCATGAAATGTGGCGAAATCTACGAATGATTGCAAATCACTCGCAACCCGACACCATTTCATGAATCCATTGTCTATGTTAACTAAGTACAATTTTGAAAGTAATAAAAACACAGAAGAGATATTAAAAGCAGCGTTGCGTTGTTTAGAAATGCCGACATTTTTGAAAAACGCAATATCCCGAAAACGCCAAAAATGACTGTAACATAATAAACTTCGTTTTTAGGTGTAAAGAATGCATTTTAATGCCATAAAAATAGCAAATATGAAAGTACAAATGAAATAACGTTTAATAATAGTGTTTCAGTGAAGTTTACATCTAAATATCGTTTAAGAATTAGTGTAATTTCATACATGGCGATTTGTCAACTGCCTACATTCTGAGTGTAGATTCCAAAGCAGTTTTCCAGGGAGTTGCGGTATTTTTGACTCGTTTGAAGTAAATGACATGGGGTTCAACAAGAGAAGCTGGATTTTGCTTGATTTCACCGATAGGGACTTCGCAGGAAGGAACGTTTTCATAAGGTGACATGCTGTAAGGCCGATCTGTGACTGATAAATTTACATAGAACTGACAGGCGTGATCGTAAACATACATTTTTTTGCTTCCAGAGAGAACTTTTCTTCCGTTAAATTAATTTGCACATTTCTTTCATTTGGGGTTATGCTGAGTTTCAGATCGGCCTTAAAACATTGCTGAATACTTCATGCTTTTCAGTGGTTCGACCCGATCGTCCATAAAGACAGTTTCTGAATTACCTGTCCGTCAGAAGCTTTAAAAGAAGATAGTTATTGAAGGAATTTGCCGAATTAGCGAAGTATCAATGAGGAGATGCACAGTCAGCCACCGAAACGATGCCTCGTATTCGATTCCCATCGAAAGCACTAGAGTAAAACAAGTAGGAGAAACAGCGCCTGTGTGCATCACTGATAGAAGTACTTTTGTCCAGACGGCGGTCCTGGCCTTAGGTGACTGAGTACCAAACGCTCCCCCATAACGCGAATCTGCAAAAAGCTTTGTAGCAGTACATCACGGATGAGGTTCGTTGTTAAATCTCTGTTTTCCAAGTAGAGGCTCGTGAAACGTTGGAAATAGTTCCTTTACGGGTGCGTCATTGGCCTATAGTCTCGTCTTTTCAGCGTTTTATGAATAGGGTCCTCTCTTTGTTCACTTCCGCAACCTATTCGTTCGTTTCACTTACTTTGAGGTCCTGTTCTGCTGCAGCTGATGCACCTCCAATAGATATCTTTGCTAATAAAATATTGCGTCCAAGATCAATTTTTTATGACTTAACCCTGAAAACACATGCCCTGGCCTAGCCACGGCTGTTTGTAGCTAGAGATGGCGGCTCGGGATCCTGTACAGAATGGATCCCACAAACTGTTTTCTACAGTCTTCTCCGACTCACCGGGATAGTGCTTATGTTGATAGTTGATAGTGCTTATGTTTCATTCTATCGCCTGAAAATTCACTTGGCCGACGCGATCCGAATTCGCATTTGAAGTTTGATCGTCACAACTATTCCACACTTGTTTTCAAACTCTTGTCTTTCTTCTGCCTAACTAAAGTTGTCACGGATACAAAAGCCTGAATCAAGACACATATTATCAACACAGTTAGAGCATGGAGGTTCAGGTCAAAACTTAAAATGAAATATGCGGAGAAGTCGCACAAATTCGCCATCATCGGAAGTGATATCCGTTATCCTTGATGGTCCTCCGCTTGGTACCATAGTAGCCATCATTCCTAGTTAATTTGTAGGTACTTTACATGTTTTTTCTGCCTGCCTTCCTCGAATGTAATATTTTCGCACCTCTTTATTCTGCGCTAACTTTCGTATGTTTTATGAGTCTTTTGTCATTCCTTTCATTTCAACACGCAAGTTCATTAGAAAATTGCTTTGCCAATCATTTAACCATTATGGCCTTAGGTAGTTTTGCAGAGATCGATATTTATTACTCTTAGCGGCACACCCGATTAATTTGTGTGTAAGAAGTTGACAGCACAATCCGCCTCGCCTTTTGCCTCTTCTTTCTACTAGGCTACGGTACAGTCGACGAACCATTTGACGCAGCAATTAGGCGCGGTCTAAGACGATTCGTAGGCCTGAGGGTTGGATCGAGCTATCGACTAAGTCTCACTTGTAAAAACTCTACTTATCTACAGCGTCGACTGGCGCATCATTTACTAGAATGCACTACTATGGACACCCTTGCCTCTCACACTGTCTTGCCAACTCATCAACACACAGTGGTGAGATAATGGCAACATACCGCCTGACTGCCGTCATAACCGCACCTCTCACCATCAACCTTGCTGTCGGTTAGAGTAACTTTTCTCAAAGCATACACATTCTCTTTAAGGGCAGAGAGTGACGAGATACCGCAGTCCCCTGTGCAATCAGATACGACGCCGTAGGACTGCTGCCTTGCTTGTCGTGGCGCATAAATGACCGGCCCGGCTAATGGCTG